TCACAAGGCGTCGTGCGAACCTGAACCTGTCCATCGCCAATCTGGCACATAGGAACAGCGATAGTGGTAGGAACCTCCCTCGTCGTGCCGTCAGAAACAACAGTTACAACAGTAGTTGCAACAACACTGCTTCCCACGATTCTCTTCTTTGGGGCGGACTTTGCATTCTTACTCTTGCCACAGGGCATGACACCGAACTCAACAGGTTCACATTGCTCAGCCCAGTTGCGGTCGTATAGGTTGTAGAAGTCGCCGGACTGACATTGCCAGAAGATTGCAGAGGGTCCGAAGGCCAGAGTTCCGTTGGAGCAGACTGAGAAGCCGGATGTGTAGATTGCGCCAGCCTGTGCGGGCTTGTCGAATTGGAACTGGTAGCTGTCGGAGATGTAACCAGTTCGTCCCTGGGCGTCCTTGAGAACGCCATCTTTGAGGTTCAATACGAGAACACCTTCACCATTGCATGATCGCTTTCATCTGTTAGTTAAGCGTCAAATTTGAGAACAGGTTCTTGCTTACCTCAGTGACATCGCGCTTTTCCATTCCAGGCTTGAAGATTGTGACTTCAAATTGGCCATCATATGAGGTGGTGCAACCCTTCGGGGCTTTACCCTTGGGTGCAACATCTTCTGTGACTGCTTGGGGAATGGCAAAGGCTGTGGCTGCCAGAGCCAGGAGAGCGAGTGATGTTCTCATCTTGGAGTCGAATTATGTGATGAAAGCAATACAGAAGACTTTGTTGTCGAGATAGACGAAGGATGTCTTTGTTTCTGTCTGGTTGCTAGTGATGATGAGTCTCTTCTATCGAGAGAAGCAGCCTGCTTGATATACATGGTGTCGTACTCCACTCATTCTGCCTGGAACGCTATAAGAAAGAGGTTGCGTATCTTCGTATCGATACTGCATTATTCAGATGTCAACCCGTGTGGCTGGGAAGTCCAGAATTACGGTGTTCAATAATGCGATAACCATTAAAACGCTTTGTCGGCAGTCATACATACCAGTTGCTCAGCTTTTCAGCGCCTTGCTGTGGCAGAAAAGCACTAGTAAAGCAGGGAGAGTTGCATCGTCAGGGCCTCGTTCACGAGCGTGGTTGGAAGCCTGCTGAGTAAAGTGCTGAAACGCGCTAAAGTAAAGAGAAAACTTTACGCGCTAGAATTTTTGTGTATCGATTTGAATGGCAGCGTGTTTGAGGGAGGCGAGATGGGTTGGTAGGAATGGAAAAGGGGCTAGACGAGCTTAATGTCTCACTTTGAGATGGGTCTAGGGATCGAATCAATTGAACCAGGTAGTATCATAGGGAAGCTCAAAGTTCAATACTTTATGATTATCTTTTATTATTGAATTAATTGACTTGTTATAATTGCCTTATTTTCGATGTTCTGGCGCGCTTCCATGATAGATTGCGAACAACCTTCCGCCACGCCATTTTGTTGAGTCTAGATACCAGCAACACATCACGACACGAGTACATTCATGATGCTCAAGGATATCCGTTAGCTCTCTTATGACTACTATAATGTTCCCTCGTGATCTGGACCTGGTAGCTGCCGATTTCCGAATTGAACAGCGTGAACACCCTCGATCAACAGGGGAGACGCAAGGGAGTGGCGCTGAGACATGATCGACCCTTGCACCAGGGGCCAACACGGCTCCCAATAATCTTACAGGCTACTTGAGAAATGTGGCTGGCGATACATTAAAGTCCTTGAGTTGATCGGGAAAATCGGAAAGCTGAAGATTCTGAACTATCTGCGTCTATGCCGTTGGTTCATCCGGAACATGAACTAGAAACGGCCACGACATGCAGCTTAGCTTTCTGCCAACTCTTGAAATGCTGTCAGCTTGCCATGGTATGTTATTTGTTTCACTCTGCTACGGTCAGGCTGAAGAGTTTCTAAAAGTCAGGCCCCTGACTAACATCTGATTTGTGACAAAGAGATTAGCTATCTGACTAAACTAACCCTCCTCACTTTTCACTCTGCTCCATGCTCCTGCTCTAGTATCTTATCCAAAGTCCTCATCAGCAGTTGGGGATCCGTTTGGTGAGGCGAGTGAGCCGTATCAAGCTCAAAAACAGGGACAGGTCGGCCTCCGTTCTCTTCCAGTCGTGAGATGAACTGCCTCTGAGCTGGTTCGGGAACAAGCAAATCCTTCTTAGTCAGGATATAGGTGGATGGAATTAGTTTGTGGAAGCCATCATATGTCTGCTCATCGCCGAAGACCCTGACGGCCTGAGAAATCTTGGAAGCGTCCTGAGCTAGTTGTTGGCCTTGCTCCTTTGTGAGATCGCTGTAGAAGCACATGGCTGTTTCTTCATCGCATATAAGATAGTCACCCTTCGTAGTTTCAATCAGTTCATGTACAATTCCACGTTAAAGTCTCACGTACCTCGCGTCGGGGATAGCGGCCCGGGTTAGCTTCGTATAGCCCCCGAGTACTTTTTCCAGGAGGTGCAAAGATCGCAGCCAGAAAGATCAAGCGAGTTATCCCGCCCTTTAGACCTGCCTTTTCTCGCCCGATGCGACTCAAGCCACGAGTCGCTTCAGTTCCGACCATCCCGCCATATGAATGCATAAGCATGACAACATCTTTTCCTTGGTTAATGTGCTTGTTCAGAACTGACTGAGCCTCCTTTACGTCATCGGTCAAACCTGGCGCAGGATCAATCCTTTCCTCCCGAGAAGACTGAAGAGGAACAACTTCGACGGGATAGCCCTTGTCTTCAACTGAACGCTGAATGGCGCTCCAGAAGCGAGGCAAGCTGAAGTTGCCAGGTACGATCACCAGTGCAGGTCTTACGGCTGCACCAGCAGCCATATCCGAGTTAAAGTTCGAGGCGACGGAAAGTTTAACGAAGCTCAAATAGCCTTGATGAGGTCCATATATTCGCAGCAAGACACGCTGAAGGAATCATGGCAGATAATGGTAAGACTCAGAGCCGAAGGATTCCACGGGCTTATGTCAGATTTCATGTTTCAAGACCAGGGGGCCAAATCACTAGCAAGTTATATATTTTCTTCCCTAGGCCTATTCCATCTTCAGGTCATTTAAATGCTGAACTTTTGACAGGTGTATCACATTGTCTGCCATGATTCCTTCAGCGAGTCTTGCTGCGAATATATGGACCTCTGTCAACCCTCAAGCTGAGGGCGTCCCATTTATAAGTTGGGGCTCACTTTCACATCACCAAATGGCCAATGATGCTGGAGTTGGCGACACATTTGGAGGCGCCACTCAAGGCACTTACAGGACTGCCACAGCTTCTATATACAGTAACACTATCCTTCGAATGCCTGCGAAGCACCAAAACTACAGCTATACCCTCAAATTCCAGGGGCCTCGATTACGATGTGGTGATGTGACCAACCAGACATTGTTTGACCAGTTGAATCCTCGAGCCAGAGAATGTTCATCGAGAAGTAGAGAGGTTCAAACATGGTACAATGCTACTTCGGAGGAGAGGTCATTCGACATCCACTTTTACACTCCCAAAGGGAACTTCACTTGCTAGACCTGGAATATAACCTTGACGACTATTTTCTCTTTTGTCAACGGTGTCTAAACGACTAATACATCGCATGTCGGCTTTGATCAGCGGCTGCATGAGGTTGCACCATCTAGACACAGAGGACATGCGGCGGATAACTATGGTTATGCAGGATGGCACGAAGCAATAAGCTCAATATTGGTAGGAGATGCCATGACAGCAGAAAGTGTATCCGCTATAGTGTGGCATAGAGCCTCCAGCAAGGCGCAGCAGACCGTACTGGTGGCTTGCCCTGAGATAGAGGGCGCAAGAGAAAGCCTCGGAGGTTTGGCTATGGAGAAATATCCAGGCAAGACTTTGAAAAAGGCCATTGAGATTCTAACTGAGTAAGTAACTCTGAGCTTCTTTGCGAACACCAAGTAAGTCGAACTGATAATTCTACATTCTTTTCCAAACCCTCACATTCTCTAGGATATCACGCAAAATTACAATCGAGATCCAGACCGCGCAGTTGTTATACATGTATAGGGCCGCACCTCTATCAATGTCTTACTCTGCTGCTGCGGGAGCTACTCTACTGGTACTGGTCACTGGGTTCTACGCTTTACTGGTCAATGGGGCAAGTCACAGCAGTTCCTTTTCAGGAATTCTTTGCACTACGAGTAACCCGAAGCTGGACATACTTGCCGAGGGTCACTGTCTGGGTTCCCAGCCGCTGAGTAACGACTTGGGGTCCCAGAGACTCCAATATGGTCCTTCGAAATCAGACAATGAGGGAGTTCGGGTGAGACATGCAGCATTTGGAACGGCAGGGTCTGTTATCACGCTGAAGAAGAGTATGGGGCATATAAAGTAATGGGTTTTCGAGAAGCGGTTACAAGAGCCTTCTTGCCATGTTGAAATTCAAAAGGGTTACGCCTAACAAGGCGACAGAGGTATATATCTAGAAGACAAGCTTTCTGGACTTCCATGTCCTAAAGCTTAATCTTTCTGAAAGTGACTGGTTTGTCAACGTGGTATAATTTTGTGATGGTTTAGTTGACACGGGAGTCTGGAGTTGAGATTACTGTATTCTTCAAATGCAATGAAGCGACTTCAGGATCTTCGAAATAGCTCATGTTTGAGACTCAATAGAGAGAATGAAAAGGATCCGCGCATGTACGATTTCGCTTCGGGTCTCTGGGAAAAGATTCGCCCCCCGTTCCCTGCCCTTGAATCTATATTCCAATGACTCATAATTATATAAATAATTCAGAAAGGCATCGTTGTTACACAGTATTATACCATTTTGTCGACATGCACGTCTTCCAGCAGAATCAGGTGAAAGCCCGGCATTTATATATCCATGTGTCAGCGTGCAACATCCATGACTGTTGTCAAATACAAATTGTAATCCAACATTGAACGTCGCTCACAGATTTGTGGTGCCACAGCATTATGCAAGGATACCACAATAGCAAAGTTCTCAAAGACGCAAAAAAGAGTGATAATAGTGGAATCTAACCACCGACGTTGGACGAACAGGGAATCGAACCCTGGACCACTCCCAGAGGTGTATCTTCCAGAGGAGAGAACATGCTAAGGGAGTATTATACCACTAAACCATTCGCCCGGAATTGCTTTATGATTGGTTGAAGCTCAGGAGGAAATTTACGTATATATTCTCTTTGGCTCAATGCTTCTTCGTTTGCCAGTTCGTTTTATGCCACCGCTTCCAACTTAGATCTGTCACTCAATTTCAAATAAAGAGTATTACGAAAGCAAGTTGGAAATGCCTATGATTGAGCGAGCTTACTGAAATTGACTTACAGTAGGGTAGACTAACTCCGTCAGGGAGAGAGCAATAATCTGACATTAACACCAATACCTTGGATGATTGTAAGAGTAGCCGTAATTAAATCTAGAAAGAAAAAGGTAGTTATAATGAGACTATCATCCTAAAAGGAAATACGAGATTATAGCGATAGGCCCTAGCGGAACTGTTGGCGATCGAGAGATATTGCAACGGCTCGGGATCAAGGTCCGAGGCTGCGGGGTTCGGGTCCGAAGAACTCCAGTTTGAGTCATCATGAAACTGTTGCTTACATATAACTACCGTGGTTGAGATATGAAAGTTTACCATACCAGTAGATCCTGCTTTTGTATCGAAAGTTCAATTGAAATTCAACATGGCGTCTCCTCAAATTGGTTGGATTGGTAGGTACATTTACCGCTCACCATCTACATCAGAATACTGACAAGCAGGCCTGGGGTCAATGGGCCTCCCCATGGCAACAAACCTCCAAAAACACTTAACCTCAACCGGCGCCCCCAACTTGATTTACTATAACCGAACTATCTCTCGCGGCGATTCTCTCAAGAGTCTTGGCGCTCAACCTGCGTCTTCTGCGGAAGACCTCGTGGCAGATTGCGATATCATCTTCATATCTCTCAGCGACGACTCAGCTCTTGAGTCAACCCTTGATTCAATCATCAACTCCGAGAGCCTTAAACAGCTAGCTGGAAAAGTAATCGCGGATACGTCAACCGTTCATCCGGACTCATCTGCCAAAGCTCAAGCACGTCTGAATGAGAAGGGCGCTCAGTTTGTCGCTTCGCCTGTCTTTGGTGCAAGTCCTGTTGCGGCGCAGGGAAAGCTGTTATGGATTGTTGCTGGGCCTGACGATGCCGTCGAGAAGATCAATCCATATTTGGAGGGAGTCATGGGAAGAGGCGTGATTCGAGTTGGAGAAGATGTGAGACTGTCGAGTAAGATGAAAACAGCAGGGTAGGTGCTATCATCTGATACCTGAGCATAGCTAATGACAAAACAGAAACTTCATCACAGCTGGTATGATGGAAGTCGTAGCGGAAGCACATGTCCTAGCAGAAAAGTCTGGCCTCGGAAGCAAGAATCTCGAAGCCCTGATTGAGCAACAATATGGACCTCTAGCACTTTCCATGTCTCAACGACTTACTACTGGAGCTTACATGCCAGCAAGAGGCGACCGGCCCTGGTCCGACTTGAACTTGGCAATTAAGGATGTGGGCCATGGAATTAATCTTGCCGAACAGTCTGGAGCAAAGTTGGAGGTTGCTGAAGTAGCTATCAAGCATTTGAAAGAGGCGAAGCGGTTCTCTGAAGCTGAGGGAAGACCCCTTGATTCTTCTTCTATGTATGGGATACTGAGAAAAGAATCTGGGCTATCCTTTGAGACAGATCTAGTTAAGGAACGAGATGAGAAGAAGTGAAGAGTGAAATATGACTGATATCGGTCTTTTATCATTAATCTGTATTTCTGTGCAACTAGTGCATGAAAACGCTATATCAATAACCCTGAAAGAGTGCTTCGCTTCATATTTTGCCATTCATACCATCATTATCGTCCATAACCTATTTAGTATCACATTGTTGCTTATAGTGCAGCTTTACCTCTAGACTCAAACGGCATAATCAACACCAAGAGTCCAGCTGCTATGAACAATGCGCCACTTGTGTATACAGGGGCAGACGTTTCCAAGTTTGCAAAGATGGCAATGATTGGCTGTGAAAGTCAGTATTGGGTCGGGACAGGTTTTGACGGCGAACTTACTGCCATGATGCCAAAGATTCTGTTACAAGACGCACACAGCGCATTTCCCGTTCCACGGTGAGGTGTAGGGAACAACTCTGGCGTGAAAGAGTACAGAACGGCGTACATGATGTTACTGAAGAAGTTGAAAGCGCATTGCCAGCCTAGTAAAGCATCACTCGTCGTTGCAGTCGTAGAGCAGTAGAGAAATACGCCGGTAAGAATGGTGCTGAGTGACAGCGTGCCCTTTCGTCCCAGTCGTGGTAACTCAACGAGCCATCCTCCCAGAAGTGCACCTGGTACACCAAGAACAGCAATGATGAGACTGTTTCGGTATGTGAGGTATGTGCTTCCATCGCCAAAGTCGGCACCCTTTGTCGCCTGGATATACGGAATGAAGGCGTTATAGAGGGGATATCCAAGACCGATGAGTGCCCAAACTGCCATGATCAATCCCGTACTGAGGCCGAGCTTTCTCGTGACAAAAAGAGCCTTGATATGCGACAAGTCGACCTTCTCCAGATATCGCTTCAACGCGGCGCTGGTATCTGTCTGGGCAACATAACCCTCCGGTTCACAAGCCTTCAGATCCTCGATACTAAGCGTCGATGTCTTTCCATTCTTCTTGGCAACAGTGTGCACGACCCTGACAGCCTCTTCGTCGCGACCCTTACTCATGAGATACTTGGGTGACTCGTAGATCTTGAACAGAACAAAGCGCACAAGGAACATGAGAAGTGTTAATCCACCAACAGTAATGGTAAAATATCGCCATCCCATGTTATCTTTTCGTCGACAGACCGTATCCTGCTCGCATGTATAATTGCCCAAAAGTGGCCATGCGATGAGTGTACCGATGACTTGTGCAATAGCCCAGTCAATGGAGAGAATCGTGAGGAGGTATTGATGCGACGCTGGTAGAAACTCGAGAAAAATGGCCGAGTCAACGGGTAAGTTTCCACCAACACCAAAAGACCACAATGCGTCGAAAATGCCAATGGCTGCGAAATTAGGGGCGCTGGCTGAAATGAGGCCCCAGATTGCTGTGAGACCGAGAGTGATGTTGAATGCCCATTTTCGACCAACTGACGAAATTAATAAGCAGAATTAAGGGAACTGGCTGGGTGACTTACAAACATCACATCCAAACCCCCAAAACATTGCACCAGCCAAAAGACCAATGTTCTGCGCCAGAGTCAGATATGGCGGATTGCTTACGCTGAACTCATTGGCGACAGGTGTAAGAATAAGCGACGTGACGATTGGCCAGAGATTATCGCTCGCCCAGCCAAAGCCTATGACGACGAAAAGCTCCCACTGATACCGCCCCATACCGAGATCTTGAATCTGACAATGTTAACGCCCATCCGATCAATAACATGAGTAAAGAAACCAAAAACTTACAGCACGGTTCAGAATACGAGCTTTCGCCTCATAAACAGGATCAAGAGCCCCCTTGGGAATAATCGCTTCATCATCAGCAGCGTCGACAAGACTATTCCTCCTCCCACCATTATTAATCGCCCCGTAGGCTTTGCGCTCCTCTTCCTTATCAGCCATGGTGTAAGAGGCAGAGTCGCGAGGGCGAGATTTCAAGAGACGACCAGCCTCTGAGTTTTCGGCTGGCGGCATGGTTATGTTATATTATACGAATGGGTTAAGAGATCGTCAGTGGCTTGATATTGAGAAGGGAGTAAAAAACAGGACAGGAAACTCCCCGGGGGTTGCGAAGTCGCGGGGTTTGATGGTGCAATTCAGGTGCTAATCCACTCTTGTCGTTGGGTGTGCGCGGGGGGCTCGCGTGCCACGTTCGGTGATCTACGGTTCTTGTGACAGGGGTTGCTGTGATGCCGCTTATTTTATGGCGTCACTTGTTGGAGTCATCGATTTGATGTGAGTAAGCATCGTATGGTCTCTTTAGTATCTTCAAACGACAGCAAGGTAAATAGCAATAATTGAAAGGATATAGACGAAGACTAGAGAGCATCTAATGTCTTGATCGTCCTTCGGATCCCGAGGTTCGTGGTTGAGTTGATCTTCCAGTGTAGATCGGTTGATCCGTCACACTAAACACTGTCCTCCAAGGCCGGACTCCCCGACCCGTTAAAGCCACTGGAAGTATCCAAATTTACCGAGATGACCTTCCACACGAGGAAATACCTACAGATTTACAAGATTTTAGAAAGATATCACATTGGATCTGCTATGATAGGTTCGCCTTGTTATTGACGTAACCCCAGCTTTTCAGCCGCGGCATATCCTGGTCGATTTTCATGTTCAGCATGACCACTAACGTGGGGTTTGTGATGGTGATGGGGACACGAGAACATGAACGGGTTTAGTCACGGAAGAGATACGTTAAGTTGGAGGTGTTTCAAGTTTCCATCTCAATTACCTCAATCTTAAGCACGGTATTCCCTTTTGTTGCTATTCTTTTACCATTAGTCGGTATTGATCGTCAACTGATATTGAGTTGATCGCCCGGATGAGCTCCGATGACCCCCACGCATCAGCACATCCTCCCCGCTCAAAAACTAACACTTGCAGGAACAGTTCCCATTCAATAACCGGTCAGAAGAACCTGAGTCCCATAATTCATCAATTGTTCATCAATATCGTCCGAGGACCTCCCCATCATTTGTCAGCAGCTGTACCTGAAAGAACGTCTCCAATGATGGCCTGTAGCTTTTAGGATAAGACAACTAATAGGTGCAAGAGACAGCGATTTTTATTACATGATTACACTAAGAGCCGAAGGGAGAGTTCGGTCATAATAAGTCATCGCAGAAGCTTACACCGTAGTAAGCCATTTTGACTAAGCATAATTATAGAAGCACAATCGATATAAAATTATTCTCTTATAGATCACTATGTCAAAGTGAGGCCTAAGCATTTCAACTCCTGTCAAGAGTGAAACGGCATATTTAGGTGCCATCATGAGATCAAAGGAACAGATATGCGTTGAATTTACCTCGTCCAATTGCTGGCTTTGTTTCAAAGCCCTTGTTAACATCTAAGTTCCCAATTAGCAGTGCTCTGCATAAAGTCAGCTGAATCTCGA